CATCTGCCTGCCTGCCCTTCCCACGAAGCTCAGCCCGGGGCCGGGGCTTGGTGCCTGTGGCTTTGCTGATGCAGCCCGGGTGCAGTTCCCAGCCCGTCCTCCTGAAAAGGGCGAACGATGCCAAACACCTTTCCTCTTTGAACTTGACCCACCCTCCACAAAGAAAACCCAGGAGCTGGCCTTCTTTCCAGGAACCTCTTCCTGAGGTGGGATTCCCATTGGTCCTGTGACTCCCAGCCCATGGGTGCCTGTCCCCCTCCAGAGACTTTCCCTTTTCCATTTCTCTTGGTGGTCAGAGGTGACATTATTGCACTCACCTTGGAGCGTGAACAAGGGGTGGTCCTCACCAGGTTCTCAAATCCAGTCTACCCTGAGTAAACACACACACACAGATGAAGGCCCACGTTATTGTAACTCAGGGTCTGAGTCCAGTCCTGAGTAACACCTTAGCTCTTCTCACCCATCTGAGTCTCTGCCCCTGCAGAGCAAAATCAGAAAAATGAGCAGACACTGCCCTGACCAATGGCAGTCTCCCAAAGTCCTGTGTACAGGGCGTCAAGGCAGGTAGGAGCCACCTGGCTGCTGCAGCTTTGGCCAGGGCTCCTGCGTCAGTCTCCATCCAGTCTGCTGCATTTGCTGGTTGTCATGGGAACCTGGACCCCTGCTCTCCTGCAGCCTTGGTCATCCAGGGTAACCAAACCTCCCAGTTTGTGTGGGACTGAGGGCACTCCCAGGACATGGGACTTGCAGAACTGAAACCAAGAAGGTCCCAGGAAAATAGGGATGAGTTGGTCCCTCACCAGAGTCCAAGGTGAGTATAAATGAGCATCCAGTGGTCCAAGGAGAGGGGACAGAGGTCTTATGGGCTAGATGGCCAACCCCATGCAACAGTGTCAGCAGGTCCCCTGCCAACCTAGTGAGAGGCTTTCACAAAGAGTTTATAGGTCCTGACCTCCAGGATTTTCCTAACCCCTCCTACCAATTCCACTCCTCTGCTGACACCACACAGGAGGCCACGTGGGAGGGATGCGACATGTCGAGAGATCACCGTGGCTCTCTGTCTGAGAGGTTCCTGTGCCCCCCTGGTGAGCTCCTGGCATTGCACAGTCTCAGTGCCCCCCGCCCACCACCATAAGCAAGAAGAGTCCAAACTTGGCACGACCCAAGGCACCTCAGGCCAACCTCACCCTGCTACATCTCCACACTCAACAGAGGACAAGCGCTAGGAGGTGAAAGTTCTCTGCTTGGCCTCCTACAGCCACATACGCAGAAGGCTCTAACGGTCCAAGGGTGGAGGGGTCAGGTGGGTGGAGAGAGTCTAACTCCGTCAGAACATAGGAAAGCCTCAGTAGGGTGTCTGCCCGCTCAGCCCCCTTGACCATGAAGACCTCTCAGTGGCTGTGAATGGAGGATGGCGTGAAACCGCCTCACCCTCTCTGTTCACCACTAACTCCACACTCACCTCAGACCTCAGTGGAAGGACCTGACTCAGCTCAGTGGCCGTGCTGGGCCTTGACCTCTCCCTTTGCCTCTGAGCAGCAGCCCCAGGCTGAGCCCTCGACTGCCAGAGGCCATGGAGGCCCCCACAGGCCTCCCCCCCTCACTCTGGAGCTTCGACCTCTGGGAGATCCTGCCACACAAACGCCTGTCTGTGCTGTAGCAGGCAGGCTGTTCCTCACTTCAGAGCATGGACAGCACAGGCTCTCGGACTCAAGAAGCATAGAGTCCAGGGGAAACGCAACTGTCCCCTTGAGGTGACCTCGGGCCAGAAATCCCAAGCTGGGGCTGAGCGACTTCAGACTTGCCCTTGGCCAGGACGGGCGGAGAGTGGGGGACTGGGGTGTTGGGCTCCAGCAGCTGGAAATGAGGCAGGGCCTCCATGTCTTCGTGCTGCAGCCCCCCACCTGCATCGGTGTCCCCTCCCTGTCCTGACCCGCACCTGGCGTCTTTCCCATCAGGGGCCCAGAGCAGGTCCCGCACCACAGCATCACCCACCTGGGCTCCTGCGGGGCCTGCTTCCCTCAGAGCCTGTGGGAGCTGCCAGGATGTCTTCTCACGCAGGTAACTTTAGACACTGAGCCACTGAGACACACATGCGGCTCATAGGATGTGAGCCTGACCGAGGCCGTCGACATGCTGGGGATCGAGGGAGGCTGCCCTAGCCCTCTCAGTGGACTTGTCCCCTTCTGGGTGAACTGTGGGCAGTGGTGTGGGGCATATTTGATAACAGGCTCTGAGGGCAGAGATGGGGGAGCCCTGATTTGTAGCGTGATTTCTATGGTTAAAGCTCCCACTTTGGCCAATTTTATGCCATCAACATGACGTCACTGAACACGGCGTTGGGCAGAGATGTGCTGTCACTCACCTGTATGTGTAATTTCCTCCAGACAGATGCCATAGATGTAAATAACCTCAGGGAAAGATAATAGTAAAATAGAGACAGAAAATTATACAGCAATGAGTTTGAGTATTTATTACCTTTGTTCTGAATATATTTATTTAATTGTAAGTTTCTACAATTTGATTTTTCATAATGGCTGAGTTTAACAACAAGCTGCAAAATTTCTGGAAATGTCGCATGCCCCTGCCCGAGCTGCCCTGAGGCGAGTTTCTCCCTCCAGTCGGCACACGCCTAGGCTCCTACCCAGGTGCACACCCAGCGACACCTCGTGTCCCAGCCAAACCCAGTCAATCCGGAGGAAACTCAGGTCAAACCCACGACCCCCTAGAGCAAGTGACCCTGAGCGGACGCTGCCCCTGATTAACCTGACGTCTTCAAACCTGCCTGGTAAGGAGCCCCCACCTTGGGCAGAACCCCATGCCAGACATGCCAGTGGTCGTGAGCCAGGAACAGGATTCGCCGTAGGATTTCAAGTGGCTGCTGGGCAGCTGCCTTCAGCATGCCTTGGAGACCAGGGTGAAAGTGGAGTGAACAACCCCTCTGTTGTCTGAGATCAGAAGAGCATTCTGTTTCCTTAAAGACAGGAGAGGGGCCAAGGTAGGCTTTTACAGGAGTTCTTTCTTTACTAGAGTGAAAATCTATGGAACAGCTTCCTATAATAGAGACTTCCAGCTCCCAAAGGAAATAGGGCTACAAGTTACCCAAGAGCAAAATGGTGCTAAGTTGAGCTATGACGCCAGTGTGCATTTCCCCAAACAAAGACACCTTCCCGCATCACCACTAATGCAAGAAATCCACTCTGAGAGGACCCCCGGTCCAGGCCTCAGACCCCATTAGGACTCTGCCATCTGTCCCCCGCATGTCTCCTTCATTTTGGTCCAGATGCCACTCAGAGACACACGTTGTACTTAGTTATCGCGTCTCTTTAGCGTTTGTGAATCTGAAAGATTCCCTGGTCTCTGCCTGCCTGTCACGCCCTTGATAGTTTTGAAGCGTGCGGGCCCTGCAGTGAGCAGGACTGCCCTCCATCTGGGTCCGTCTGACGTTTCCTGGCAGGAAACTCATGGGAATGAGGCTCTGCTCCATTAGTGCATCACGTCAGGGGGCACGTGACGTTGACCCGTCCCTCCCATGGTGGCCCTACCCTTCCTCACCTGTTCATGCTGGCGGCCGTCAGGCGTCTCCATGGCAAAGGCCCATCTCTGCCTTTGTAGCTAATGAGCAATTTGTAGGAAGATATCAGAGATTTTGCCAATATCCTTTTTCTATTTCAACCTCCCTCACTAGCACTGGCTTCTACTGGCTACTGCTGTTTGAGTTCAGACAACGCCAGTCTGAATCTCTCAGATGAGGGAGATAGTCACCAAATGGTGATTTTCTGTTTCCATCATTCTTTCCATTGATTAGTTGGCCTTCTACCGTAAGGAAGTGTTTCCCCTTTCTGCTGTCTTATTGATTTATTACTATTATATTAATATTGCTATGAAGTTGTGGGTTGCAATTTTATTCCATGGGCTCTAGTCCATTATTATCATTCTTTATTTGATGTTCAATTTATACCATTTTTGACCAGTTGAGGCTTCTTATAGGTGTCTCCTGTGTCTTTTTATCACATTACCCTCATTCCTTGTGCACTTCCTTATTTTCTGGTGCAAGCATTTTGTACTTCCTCATCCTCGGAATCAGCCATTTCTCCAAGGATTCTTGATTCCTTTAAGTGGGACATGGTATTTAAAAACCAAAATATGGTGCTGGGTATGCTCATTACTATGGGACATCATTGCTTCTCTGAGTGGGCAGAGCTGGGAATATACATATGTATGTATGTGTCTTCACACACATATACACACCTTTATCTACAACAATTTCTATACCTATGTAAGTATGGGTACATATGTGTATTCTACATGTATCGCTACAATAACGTAACTTCCATTGTAATCAAATATATCTCAGTTCTCTCCCTTCTTTCCCCATTCCATGTATTTAAATACCATTGCTTTTCATTAATTTCAATATATTTACTTATTTATTTAGTAAATGTGTTAATTTGCCCATGTAACCATCTCCCTGAAATGTCAACACCTTCAGCTGCTGTCAGAGTCCTCCCACACCCAGCGTCCCATGTTCTCGAGGGCCAGCAGGTGCCCGTTCATTCCCTCAAGAAGGCCTGCGAGGTCCCCCATGCTCTGCTTTGCACCCGCACTCACTGGACGTCTCCGAAGATGACAGTCACGCGGTGGTTGTTTTGGACTTCAATGTCCCAGACACATTTGGCGTTGTTCGGATAGTTCCCAGGGTAGGATGGGCTGGAAAAGTGCCCCGAAGGTTGGGACAGGAAGCCTCCGCAGGAATAATTTGCTGTCAGAACAAAATGGAAATGCTGATGCCCCCAGAGCACACTGCACAGTCACCGGGGGCAAGTTTTAAACAATTCCCAAGACGGATCCTGACAGGAGGGGGCCTGGACCCAGACTGGCCACCCAGGGCCAGCGGGCCCCCTGCCAGGGAGGCTGCACTTAGGAAGCCTCTCCTCATTCTCGTCATCCTCCGCCCAGTGTCCCTGCCTCTGAGGGGAAGGGAAAGGGTATTTGTCAGGAGCTGTAAACAGGAGCTGCTGACAAAGAGAAAAGACAATGATCAGTTTCCTGGCATCCTTGACACAGTTGCTCAGTGCTGTCTTCCTCTGGGCCAGAATGTGCCAACCCTGGGCTCACAGTGGGACGCTGGATACAGGCCTTGCCCTCAGGGAGCTCACAGCCTGCAGGAGACAATGGAAAAGAGCGAACTCCAATGTAGTGGGATGGGGATGTGACCACGTAAAAACCAGGCAATAGCGGGAGCCCAGAGCTTTGGCTCCTGACCCAGACGAAGCAGGGAAAAGCAGACAGGTAATCAGGGAGGCGGGTAAAAAGGTGGAAACGGGTGTTCCAGGCAGAGGGAAGAGCATGTGCAAATGGACTCAGGCAAGAGAATCCCTGGCGCATTTGGGCGACATCAGTGTAGATGGAGCAGGGAGACAAGGGAACCAATCAGACAAAGGGAGTGAACCATGGAGAGCCCTAGAGATAGTGCTGAGGTGTGGGATGTGTGCCCAGAACCTCCTGAGAAGTCACTCAAAGGTGCCGAGGCTGGGACAGACACTACATTTCCTTGACGACCCTGGCTAAAGTGGAGAATGGGGGGAGGGGGGCCTGAAGCTGCTCTGCGGCAGGAAACCAGAGGGGACAGGAGGTGAGGGTGGGATGGAGAGGAAGGTCTCAAGGAGCCAGGAGTGTGCTGGGAACACTTAGAGAAGGTTCAGCAGGAGCTCAGGAGCCGGCAATCAGGAGCTTCTGCTGGTTGCACACCAAGCTCAGCCAGGAAGCAGGTCCCATCCCACCCACACTGCCCAGGGTCTAGTGCCTGAGGGGAGAGGCAGGGCCTACACGGGTGGCTGGCCTCTCCATGGGACAGACCAGAGACCGGAATCTCATGCTGGGCAGGCTACTGAAGGACAGAGAGGAGCCTAGAGAGAGGCCCAGCTCTCCTTGGGGTGGGACATCAGCTGCAGGGGCTGCCACATGCTGGGAAAGGCACAAGGGACAAACATGCCCTGCACGATCCAAGGGCAGTGGCAGAGAGGGGCAGCCAGGCGAGGCGATGGAGATCATGGCGCTTACCAGGGGTCGTTGCATATTGTCCTAAAAAGGAATAGAGGAAAAGCATCAGTACCTAAAGTGTGCTTGGAGAGAGGAGATGAGAGGGGCACAGCCACACCACACATAGTCTGACCCCCTCAGTGAGTGCATGTGGGGTCCACTGAGTCCGTGCTGTGGAGCCTGTGTTGTTAGCAGGAGGCCTAAGTGGGTTTCCCCAGCTCTTCCCTCAGCCCCATTGTTACTTGGGGGTCATCATCAGTGTCACAGCCAGGATCATTACACCACCATTTATTCATCATTTCCTACTTTTTGGAATTGTTCTAAGAGTTTACACACATCACCCATTTAAATTCTCTGCTCCCCGTTGGAGGCAAGTACGATCACGATCATCTTCTCTTAGTAAACGAGGAGGCTGAAACTCAGAGAGGTTAACTCACTGCTAAAGGTCACAGAGCAAATGAGAGAGAAGAACACACTCACGACTCCAGCTGTGTGTCCAGCATAATGGCCCCAGGGCCCAGAAGCTCACCAGAGATAAAGTGGCCTATGAATGGTCTCCTGGAGTGAACAGACCAAGGGAACAAGCTCCTGCCTGCCCCCAACCCCTGAACTGATCGACAGACACCATCAGCCGCCTGTCTTTAGCTCTCACTTAGTAGCAGGTCAGAGGTGAATGGGCCTTCCAAGGATGGCATCACGTGGAACCTGAGCAAATGACTCCAGCATCTTCGTGGTGGGTGCAATAATGGGAGAACCAGCCTCGGTTCCGGCACTGCCAGAGAGTAGATTCCGTTCCTGAGCACGCCACGTCATCCAGGGTGATGGGGCCAGAGCCAGAGCCAAAATAGGCGTTTCCCTGCGCTGATACTGCATCACCGCACCCCAGCTGTCTGCAGACCACCTGGGCATCCTGAATGTCCCAGGAATCATCACAAACTGTCCCCCAGTTGCCACCATGGTAAATTTCCACACGCCAGGCACATGCACCAGAGGAGGAGGTGAAGTTGACTAATCTCAAGCTGGCGTCTGAAAGACATGCCGTAAATATGATGGCCATGGCCCACAACACATCTCCAAGACCAAATAACCCATGGGCCTTTCCTCATCCCCAAAGTCACCAAATGGCACTGGCCACGGTACAGACAGCTCCATGAGGGAGCTGGAAGGAGCTCCAGACGTCACTAGAGCTCAGACCCCTCCAGCCTCCAGGGGAGGTGTGGGCTCAGCAAGGAGAGTTAGTAGGTCCCCCAGGGAGTTGGTGGCAAGTCCAAGCCCAGGTGTTTCCCCTATTCTCCACACCTGGCTGCCCTGGCTTACCACAGTCACGGTCAGAGATAGGGAGTACGGGCAGCACATTGCTGAAACCCTTCTTGGGTTTCCTGTGGGAACCACAATGCACGCAGAGGAGGGGGCTGTGAAAATACACTGAGCCTCAAAGCTCATGTCTAGTTTGCACTCACCTCTTGCAAAGGGGTTATACCAAGCAGAATAGCCAGTGTTTTGGACACCGACATCACTTGGGAATCGAAAAATCATTCGATTGTCAGGAGATGTGAATATTCGCCTGGTGCCATTACAAATTTTCCCCAGCAAATTACGGCTATTGAGTGATCCATCCATAACTGCAACAGCTGTATATCTCCAGCCTGTATGAGAAAACGGATTCATGTCAACCTCGAAGGTCCTATTGCTCCTATATTTTATAGATAGTTTGGACTTTATCGTTCATGCTATTGAATCTAAGATTTTCTTCTTGCTCTTCCTCAATCAAATCAAAGGACTCCCCAGTATTGCCTGATGCTTCATGGGAAGGATCAGAGCAACCTGAAATCTAGTCCAAGGCACACGAGAGCAAAAACCATCCCAGCCCAGGACACAGTCCGAACCACAGGGTGTGTGGAGGAGGACACATCCTTCCCCAGAAGACTGAGTGTCACTTACTGCACATGGTTGAAGCCCAGGTTTATGCGATAGCCAGAGTTCACGTCTATCTCCCAGACACACTCCGCGTTGTTGGGGTAATATCCAGGATAGGAAGGGCTGGAAAATGTCCCCCCGGCATGGAATAAGAAGCCACCACAATTTGAAGAGTGTCCTAGAGAGGAGAGAGGGAGGGACATTGTCATTGTGGTGGGTCTTCAGGCGCGTTGTGACATTGTGTGGGTAAGAGTCCTCAGGTTTCATCCTCTGCACTTAGAACGTGACTCCATTTTTCCTTAAACAAGCCGACTCTCTGGCCTGGCCATAGGCCACCCCACATTAGGGGCGTTGACTCCCCCATTGGGCCTGGAACAGTGATTCTCTGGCGAGAGGTGACCCAAGCTTCAGAGGGAGCATGTATCACCTTGTGGCACAAATGCCAAGAAAGCAACAAAGTGATTGTTGGCACTGTTCAATCGGTCACAGGGAGGGAGGTGGGGATTAATCTTGGCTGAGCAGAGAGCTGGCCCAGGGAGAGCACCCTGGAACGCTACGTGTTCCCTCGTGTCTCCTGGGAGCAGGAGATTCGGCCACTTGACAAGAAGCCTCATAAAGCGGGGTCGGGAGCAGGGCTTCTGCCACAGAAGGCCTGGGCTTACGTCTTGGCCCTGCTCTTATCAGCTCCATGATCTTAAGCAAGTAACTTAACTGCTCTGCCACAGTTTCCTCATCTGAAAAATGGGGGTGATAATGGCACCTGCCTCATCAGATTCTTACAGGTACCCAATGAGACAAGATCTGTAAACCCTTAGAACAGAGCCCGGCTCATTATAGTTAGCCCCAAACAATATTAGCTATCATTATTTACCGGAGAGGGATAAATAACATTAAGCATTCAAAATTTTTGTCGGTTGGTTTATTTTAATAGACCATTTAAAAATACTTATGTACTCAGAGGAGATATAAATTAAAACTTTTTTTTTCCTTATTTATAACTCTTTCTGTTTGTTTTTCTGAAGTGTACAATTCAATGGTGTTCATATAGTCAGAGCTCTGCAACCATCACCACAGTCCCTTTTAGAAAATCTTCATCACTCCGAAGAGAGACCTGCGCCCTTAGCAGTCACTCCCCATTTTCCCTCCGTATCTGAGCCCCAGGCAACCACCAATCTGCTTTCTGTCTCCACAGATTTGCCCATTCTGACGTCTCACACGGATAGAAGCACAGTTTGTGGTCTTCCGTGACCGGCTTCTTTCACTTAACAGAACGTTTTCAAAGTTCACCCATGTTGTAGCATCCATCAGGACTGAACTTCTTTTCATTGACAAATACTACTCCACTGTATGGGTAACCACGTTTGGTTTATCCATTCGCCATGATGAACATGTGGGTTGTTTCCACTTTGGGGCTGTTAGGAGTAATGCTGCCATCTATGAACATTGTATGTAAGTTTCTGTGTGGACTTATGCTGTCCTTTCTGAGAGTATGCCTAGGAGTGTAACTGCTGGGTCCATGGCAACTTTATGTTTACCTTTCTGAGGAAGCGCCGAACTGTTTCCCACGGCAGGCGCACCGTCGTCCGTTCCCAGCAGCAGCGTGTGAGGCGGTGCTTGCCCCACAGCCTGGCCAACTGCGTTATCTGACTTTTTGATTCTGGCCAACCTACCGGGTGGGAAGTGGCATCCCTTTGTGGCTGTGATTTGCATTTCCCCATGGCTAATGATGTTCGGCATATTTTCATGAGCTTTCTGACTGTTTGTGCATCTTCTATGGAGAAATATCTTGTCAGATCCTTCACTCATTTTTTAATAGGGTTATTTGACTTTTATTATTAGTGAAAAGTCTTTATATATTCTAGATTCGTCTCTTATCAGATGTATGATTTGCAAATATTTTCTCTTATTCTTTGGAAAAACAGTGTTTCTTAAAGAGAATTTGGCCTTTAAAATATTCCTACCCAGAAGTTCTATTTCTACAGTGGGAAATAATCCAGGATAAGGCCAAAGTTTTAGAGACAAGGATATGCATTACAGATTTCTAAAAATATAGTAAGGACAATTATAAAATAAAATAAAAATATTACTCTATGCAAATTATCTAAGTATATAAAATTTAATGAGAAAGAATAAATTCTTTCATCCTACGATTATTAATTGCTTAATAAATCATGGTATATACATACAAAGGAAAAAATGTGCAGCCAATTAACTTTATGGTGTAAAATAATCTCAATGCTATCAAAATACTATCTTTAAGGCAATGAAAAAGTATTTATTACATACTCAAATGAAAAAGGATATTACAAAATAGGTTGTAAAGCTTGCTGTAATTTGTGCGTGTGTGTGGTATGTGTATGTGGAACATACATAAAAACACCGACAGTAATTATATATGCATCCATTCATTCATTTCTTCGTTGATTCTTTCTACAAACACTTATGGAACGACAGACAGGACACTAGATTAAGGTTGCAATCATGAAAAAGGCAGACATGGTCCCTGCCCTCAGGACGTGCATAGTTTGGCAGGAAAGACAAGCATGTAGTGCAAACATACTTCTCATGTTGTAATCCCCCAGCTTAACACTTTTCAACAGCTCCCGCTGCTCTTAAGATAAAGTCAGCATGTTAACCTGTGTGCAAAGCTCCGGATGATCTGGCCCTCGCCCAGCTCTCTGACAGTCCCTCCCGCCACCACCTCTCGAACTCATTTGAAAAGCCACGCTCCTTCCCGCCTGGGCCTTCAAAGCGTTCCTTCTGACTGGAGGCGTTTCAGCAGAGGACCCTGCTTCTCTTGTAGGCCTCAGCACAAGGGTCCCTTCATAAGGAACTTCCCCTGATCTCTCCATGACGAAAAGTCTCTACTAATATGGGCTCTTTCAACACTGTCACAACTGTCGTTAGATGGTTAATTTGGTATTTAGTATTTAATACCATGAGCTACCTGAGGGAGATCAGATTCTCTTTTTCATCATTCTGTAATTTTACAATAGTTCTTAATGGCAATGTGACCATACACAAAACAAAGACCTTAAAATACTTAGCGTAATGAGTTAGTATTGAATAAGAAGATTCTATGCACCAGGCACTATGCTAAATTTAGACCGGTAAATCTATTTGTGTCTTAAAGGAAAATGTGAGAAAGCATGTGAAGATTTATTTATAAAAATATTTCTTAGCACAGGGTCATTTAGAACAACACAGAAATAGAAACAACTTGAATATCCAACAATTGGGGATTAAAAAATTTGTGGGCATGGCTGTGCAATGGAATACAATGCAGGCACTTAAACTGATGGGAAGAGAAGATTCAATGACATGAAAAAGTCACCATATCATTTCTTAAGAGCAACGGACAGCTATGGAACCATATCCATGTCATGGGGTAAAAATTACTTGAAAAATCAGGATTATTAGTGAAATTCTCCATTTATCCCAAAACTTTAGAGTTACTACAAGAAAAATAAGCCTTTAGTTCTATTCTCTGAAGAAGCACTTCTCTCACTTCCTTAAAAGGAGGGGAGGTAGATTTCCTTCGTTAAACCAGAAGTCATCGGCCTGCCAGGACAGACACAAAGGCTGCACAGGCACAGCCTGGATGTGGGCTGGGTGTGCCCACACTGGGTGCAGGGTGTGGAGGGGCAGCCGGGGCTGGCTGTGCGAGCAAAATGAGGTGGGCTGTGGCTTTGTAGGCATCTGCTGCATGGAGAGCCAAGCATGGACTAAGACGTCCATGCCCGACGGTCCAGGTGGAAAAAAGTGATACTTAACCTCTGCGCTTGTAGGCAATGGGTGCCACCAATCTAGGAAGAAAATGAAGCGATTTTAGCATTAAGCATTTAGCATTTTAGTAGATCCTAAGTAGATCCTTTAGTAGCATTAAGTAGATCCTTTTAGTAGATCCGTTTTCAATTCCATGGTCATTAGTTGGACAGAGAAAGGTAGATGCTTGTCCTTACTGTGGAAGGCCCTTGACCCTCTCGATGTGCACTGGGAATGGCCGAGGAGGCGAGGGTCCACAGCCCTTCCCAGTGAACTGAGCACTGAATATTTTCAGTACCCCATAAATAACACTAGGGGGTGGCTCTCTCCGAGGGAAGGAATTCTTTAGCAGACAAATATTTGTAGGTGGGTACTCGGCCCTGTTTCTAAAATGGTCACATTCTCCATGGGATGGCTA